CGGTCAGTGCTCACTGGCCGCGTCTGAGTCGGAAGGGAGATACTCCTGACTCCACCTCAAGACGCTCGATCAGGGCTTCATATATCAATAGCAAAGACTATATCAGTTCTCCATTTATTACCAGAAATGCACTTTAATAAATTCAGTGCTCTTTGACATTTATTCTTTAACTGACCAATGTGGTCTTTCCAATTGAGTCTACTATCAAAAAGTAAACCAAGAAATTTGGCAGAATTTTGAATAGATATTGGGTGGTTGTCTAGAGTTAGCCTAATGTTCGGCTTCCTCCTATATGAAAAAAATGACCCCAATCCTCTTTCTAGTGGAAAACTTAAAACCCCATTGGAAACCCCAGTTATGAATCATATTCAGTGCCAGTTGGATGCGATTTGGTGAGAATTCTGCATTATTGCTAGAATGCCATAATGCACAATCATCAGCGTACAGAAAATATTTAAGATTCCGAGGAGGAGCTAGAAAGATGTCATTGATCATGCATAAAACTATTGTTGGTGACAAGACACTTCCTTGTGGGACCCCGTTTGCCTGGACAAAAAAATGTCTGAAAAAGTGACATTGTCAGAAATGAAGTTTACCAGAAAAAATTCTGGCAGAAATGAAATTTTGTATAAAACAAGGCAAGTTTCCACGTAATCCAAAAGTATAAAGTTTTCCGAGTAGGCCATATCGCCATGTCATTTCGTAGGCTTTTTCTATTTAAAAATACTCAAATCAAATTGGCAATTGCCTCTTCAACATGACTGTCCATTGCTAGATCTTTATTGTAATTAAAGTCATCTCCTGTAGCAAAGTGAATAGGTTGCAGCTCAACCGCTTCCTTGATGGTCAGGAATGCGGGATGGTAATTTGCCGAGCTGCTTGTATGAGAGAACTGCCTGGCGAGTGCATTAGTAATGTCTATAGGTGAATCTAAATTGTTACCCTCGTGAATGATGTTAATTTTGAAAGATGTTTTTTCTTATTGATTTTATTGATAGTGGACCAAACCTCTGATATTTTGGTACTGCTGTTAATTGTAGAGACAAAGCTCTGCCAGGAGTCCCCTTTTGCTGGTCTTATTACTCTACGAGCCCTAGCTCTTGTTTGTTTGTAATTGCAAAAGTTCTCATTAGTGATGTTATTTTTGAAAAGCCTGTAGGCCTTATTGTGTCGGCACAGCGCCCTGCGGAAATCTGGTGTCCACCATGGAACTCTATGCTTAATGATATCTATCAAAGTTTTAGGAATGGATAGCAATGCTGCTTCTATACTTGTTTACTTTATCATCAATGGTTTCTCCAACAAGTTAGATCTTGATGCTCATTGTAAAGGCGACCCAGTCTGCTCTTTTTACGTTAAATTTGGGTACTGAAGACGTTCTCACTGTGTTGCATGAATATTTAATCAAAATAGGAAGATGATCGCTTCCCAAGTAGTCAATGGTGTGCCACAGGCACTTGGCTGCTAATGATGAAGAGACCTGTGATAAGTCAATAAAGCTCAAATTACCGGTATTATCATCCACCCGAGTCGGACTACCATCGTTCAGGATCAGATCAGATTCATTAATCAACTTAGCTACTTGCTCACCTCTACCATCCAACCACAGGGAACCCCATAATGTATGATGAGCATTAAAATCACCTAAAATTACTTTATTTTGTGGCAGACATTCCTGAAGAGCAAAGAGCTCATCATAGGTTATCACTGTATCAGATGGACAATAAACTGAACATATAGTCAGATATGTGCCATTCATTTATACTTTACATGCAACAAACTCCAAAGTAGAATTAATAGTCACTTCTGTAAAAGGGAGGCTTCGGTGTATGTACATGGCGACTCCGCCACCACCCATACCATCATGATCCTTCCGACATAAATGATAGTTCCACAGCAAAACGACCTCGTCAGAGACGATTTGTGTTAAGTGCGTTTCTTGGAAAACTATAATATTGGGAGCATAGGACAAGGCTAATAATTTAAGGTCATTTACTTTAGATCTAAGACTTCGACAGTTCCAATGTATAATGGTCGACGCAAAGATTATGTTTTATAGGGTTTGGAAGTGCCTTGTCCACTAGTTTAATTTCCTCTTTTTCCGGGGACCTCTCTCGGGATGGTTTGGAGACAGAAGCCTCCATGTCCTGCACCTCCTGGTGAGGGAGACGACTGACAGATTGCGATCTGCTTCTCTCTCAAGAAACGATCGCGAGCCAGGCGAAGTCCACACAGGAGTAGCCCGGATGGGGAGGTGCACTCTGGACTGTGATTTAGTATCAGCGTCCTTAAGATGTTTATGATGGGTTGATGCAGCCATTTGATTGACCAATTTAGTCAGTTGATAAACTTTAATATTTAATTCTTTAACGGTTTGTTTCACTTCAGCAATTTCTTTATCTTTAGCTGCAAGCTGTTGACTGACATCACTTGCACTAGGGGTGTTGTTAGTTTCTGCTGCAGCATAGGAATTATCAGGTTTGTGTGTCAAACTTTCAACTTTCCTCTTAGCTTCAGTATAACTAACTTCATGCTTTCTCATATATGCTAATGTCTCAGTCTCCTTTTTCAGGATGCTGCTCTCAGCAGATCTTGACTGATGGGGACCTCCACAGTTAGCACATTTGGAAATCTGGCTAGTACATGTGATAGTGTCATGGGCTTCAGCACATTTACGGCAAATTTGAGTCTTTATCAATACATCTTAATGAGGTGTGTCCGAATTTTAGCATCTATTACAATGCATTGGCTTTTGGACATAAGGTCTTACTTGAACACGGTTATAACTGACATTGATATACTCAGGGATTTTATTTTGTTCCCGCATTTCCATCCTTCTTGATCATGCAATGAACGTCCACTATGTCTTGGTCCTTCAAGCTCTCGAGAATTTCACTTTCTTTCATCGTCCTCAAATCCCTGGGAAAGATTACTCCCTTACCGGTATTTGAGCCAATTGGAATAGTTACTTTAATTCAAAGATCATGAATTTACTTCAGCTTAAGTTTATCCTTAATCTGCGAGTTATATTGTACATTAACAAGGAGGCTTCCATCTCGCAATTTTTTGCCAAAATCAAAATCGCTGTTGACTTGACCATCAAGGACCTTTTTGATGATAAAGGGGTTTACGTTCAAAAGCGATTGATTTTCATTCACGCAATTTTACATTTGTGAACCCATCATTCTGGGTGGGGATTTTGAAAAGTGGTCTTTTTGTTTAGTCAATAGTAGGGTTTCCATTGTTCGTAGTCAGATTAGTCTTAGAAGGGTCATGAGTCACCCCTCCTCCTCGAGGAGAAGGGGTAGCCGGGGTAGCATCCATCTTGGGTATCGGAACAGGTCAGACCCCTTGTCTCAAAGTCGTAGTCCTGAAGGGATCAAAAACTCTTAACTTTTGGTATCAACCTAACAGCAATAGCTAATAGAGTAAGGCAGTTTTCTTACCTCTACCCCCCCAGTGGAAGCCTGGTTATGTTCTCCAGAACCACAGAGGGATCAAGTTATGTGTGGGACACTTCCTTACCGGCGAACTTGCCTAGGCCCACCCCCCAAGTGAATACGGGAGTTCACGAGGAACTCCGGTAGGCTCAGGAAAGTCACATTAAGAGGAAAAATTCAGAACAAAAGAAAAAGTGTGCCCAAATAACGCCCCAGACTACTAGGCCTCCCTACCCAGGGGTTAAAGCCACAATGGCTACCCTAGTGTAGAAGAGAGCTGCAGGTCTGAGGTGGGGTGCTGACTACTCTTACTGTAGCCTCGTGCCATCTGCAAAAGCAAAAGCACTGAAGGTGTTGGCAAAGCACTATAAAGTGCGAAAGGTTCTGTAATAACAGGGTTTACTTTATTTCAATTACTCTATGAAACTCAGAAACAATGATGTCAAGCGAGAGGGCCCGGATTCCAGGATAGCTCTTGTGGCACGACTCAGTATTTATTGTTGCTGCGTTTTAACAAGGTGTTGTCTCACCAAAAGTTCATACACGAGTCTAACACCATCGATATTTAAAACACTAGTAAAAATACGTTTTCCCGCCAATCTATGTACAGAGACATTTCACAAAAATATTAAAAAATGAGCAGAGCATTGTCCCCATCTTTTATTCGTTTTCCCCGACAGCAATGCGTTAATATTCTCGTACAACACAAAGTCCACAAACTTTAAGCCATGATAATACCTTATGACGAAAATATACCCTTGTAATCTGCGTTGCTGCACAGATTAACCCGGGCACCACTTGAAATCACAAGTAAAAAAGAGCACTATATTCTGAATACTCGTATAGATACATGACCCTTTTTTTTTATTTATTTTTTTTTATTCCTTAAAACAATGTAATTGCAATTTGTTGAAGTGACCGAATTCAATATATATTTTTTTTCTTTCTTTCTTTTTCTTTTTGATATCCGGATATCCCATAAACAATAATCACTTTGTCCGATTTCGTAGAATTCATATTTAACACCTAGTCATTAGCCCGTGCAAAATGAGAGGAGGAAACTCGGAAGAAAACAAAAATAATAACCCTTATAGATTTTATTTTTAATATTTGTAAATAAATGCAGTGAAAAAAAAACATCCTTGTATAAGAATGAAAACTGAAAAATATGACAAGGTTTCAATCTCTCCGGGTGGTAAGGAGGGTATATATAAGTATGATAAACAGCGTGATCCAAGACTTCATAAGAAAAGTATGATGCAAAGATAATCAATAGGACTTGAATATGTCGGTAAAAATGTGGAAGGCAGGGAGGCAACCAGGAGTCATCTCTTCCTTTTGCCGTCACAATGGTGCTGTAGACTCAGTGAATCTTAGTATAGGATCAAGCAAGAGGAACATTTTTTGATCAGGGTGAAGATGAAGATCAGGGAGGATTGGGTAAATCTATTTACATAGTTCTTTATTTTACTTCACTAAAAGTCGCCCTTTACATGGCTAAACTACAAGAGTCAAAGGAATATTAAAAACATTACTCAATAATGAATTTTTCTTCATTCA